GCCCTGGAGCGCCCTACCAAAGTACAGTCACACGGTTCCCCTTCTGAAAGTCCAGCACCAGGGAGGGAGAGGGTCAGGAACACTTGGAGGATCCCTGGTTTGAAGGTTATGCAGGTAGCAGCAACACATCAAAGGTCCTCTCTGATGGGCAGGGACTAGGAAACCTCTCTAGCCAAAGGTCGTGGGCAAAGAATTGCCTGCAAGAGGGGCCAGAGCAGATTTGACCAAAATGGTTCATCATATTGGCAGGTGGGCATGGCCAATAGAAATAGAAACATTCTTAGTCATTACTATACAAACTCTAAGTGTCCTATGGACTTCTTCAGCCTTCTATGGAAGGTGGTATGTATATAATAGATGAGTCACCCTCCTAAGACATACCACTTGAAACCCTTTGAGAACTTGCCTTAAGTTATTCCTGTGAAGCAAAGCTACAAGTTCACCTGCAGTTAGACTCTTTTGTGATTTTTTCTTTTTGCAACATTGTGTTTTTAAATTTTTGTGAACATCAAAGAAGGAATGTGCTTCAAAGAGGAAAGACAGGTTGTTAAAAGAACATATATTTTATATTTTGTGGTGGTATTTTTTGATGATTAAGGCATGAGTACTGATATTGATATCAGGCAGATCTAAGTTCAAATCCTGCTCTGCCACTTTCTAACTATGTGACCTTAAGCAAATTATTTATCCTGTATAAACCTGTACCCTCTTTACAAGGCTGTTGTAGGATGAAATCAGAAAATGTTATTAAAAATAAATGTTACACCAGTTACTAACTTGCATTATACTACTTAATCCTTAAAATAACCTTGTGATTTAGATATGCTGTTGTCATTTTATACCTGAGAAAATGGATGGCCGACACCACACAACTGGTAAGTGCTAGTTGCAGGAGTTGAACCCAGGAGACTCCAACACTTGCCCTTTGTTTCTAAGATATGCTTCACATGTGCTCAAAGCTGTTGGGTCAGTCCCTGGTATCAGCAAATGCCTAGTGAATGGTAGTGGTAGTTGTTGTTTTCTCATGATTCGAGAGCTCTCTGGCCAGAATGCCTGATCCATTTTGCATCCTTTGAGGTATGTAAATGTCATTTTTGCTGTAAAGCTCTTGAATTTCCAGGATTAATTTTCCACTTTTCTTCAAATGCTTAAATCACAGGTGCAACTGCCAAAAGAACTGGAATAAGGGGTAACAGAATAATCTAGAAGAACAAGGAATTGAAGTAACGACTCTTGAATTAGAGCTTGGAGACAACATCAGCAACATAATTCTGGATCCAGGTGGTGAAACTGGGAACAATTCAAACATCTGATAGGAGTATTTTGTAAAGGGCAGAACGCTTGGCCAGGGACAAAATAGAGACTGAAAAGGAAGGAGAAAGGAGATAAAATAATATTCAGTCAACAATTTCTACTTTCAATCAGTTTGAGTGACAGGTGAAATTTAGAGTTATGCTTCTAGCACAGAAGTTTAAAAAAAATTGTAAATGTTTGCCTTACTATTACTTTCTTCTGCTAAATAACAATAAATACTATAGAAATGTTAAAAAATTTTTCTACTTCCATCTCCTCTGCTTTAATTCACCACACAGTATCTTAAAAGGAGCAAATCATGTTTTATTCCATGGAAATACGAAGGGTAAATTGAGCTCAAGGCCCTTCTGTTGCTTTGAAAGGGAAGAATTGTTAATTAGCTCTTAGAATCAGGAGATATTTCCAGTTTCCAACTCTGCTTAGCTTTTTTGCTTTGCCATTCCTCTGATGTTTGGGAGTATACTTCTGATAGGAGTATCTGTGGAAAGCAGAATGTTTAAGCTGCAGAACATGGAGAAAATGAAGTATTTCCAGAAAAAATTATGGCAAAAATAAACCCCGCGTGTATACAAAAACTTCCCTGTTTTCATATATGTAGAGACAGTGGGAGATAGTATGCTACATTTGTAAAAAAAATTAATAAATTATAGATAATACAGTTATTGAGAAACTTTTGATTTAGGTAACTATATTTTGTTTGTTTTTGTTTAGTCTGTGACTCTAAATTGACCTTGTTGCTCTCCTCAAAAATACTCTAAATAAAACTTGCTATGGAATTAAACTGAAATTCCTTATCCTGTCATTCAAGGCCCTCCATTCCCTGGCCCCAATTTATTAATCCAGTCTTATTTGCCACAAATCTTTTATACTTCTTTTCATGAAACATTCTCATGCACTCCCTTGTGCCTTTGCTCTCACTGACCCTTCCGTAGAATATTCTGAGAGACTTCCCTTCTACTCTTCATTTATGAAAGTCCTATTCTGTCTTCAAAGCCTAGGTCAGACCCCAATCCTCCATAAAAATCTTCCAGACAACTCCAATCTGTGTTCTTTCCTCCTTCCAAGTTCCTAGAGCCCTTAATTATCCATTCTAGTCACTAGATGCATAGAATCTGAAATTTTGTTTAAGACTCTAGAAATCAAAAAATCACACTTTGATGCTTTTTCTCTCTTTTACCTGAGTAAATGATTGGCACCTGCCTTCTTTCTCCTTTTATATAATCATAGATAGTACATAACAAGCCAAGCAGGCTAAGAGGGAATTAATTGAATGGGGACAGACTTAAAACAATATAGTGTTTGGAAGGATAAGCCATGGTAAAGAAATAGGCTGTTTCTATTTTTTAAAGATAACTTAGTGTGTACGAAAGTATCCACATTGTTATGATTATTAATCAATCAATTTTAGAATAGCCAACAACTGATAGTTTTGTTTTCTCCTTTACTATTTCTATAAAACATGCTTGCATATAAAGCAGGATAGTTAAGTCAATAAATAAAACTTTTTAAGTGTCTAACATATTCTACATCTAAAAGACTAAACACTGATAGGACAAAGCGCTCTCACGTTTAAAAGCTTAATGCATATTTGTGGTTGAGGTTCTGGAAAGCCCTTATGCATTTGCTTGTAGAGGCCACAGTGTTAATAAAGCCAGGAACTTCAAAATGTACTGATCATCCTGAAAGAGGACTTGAACCTTAGATGTGCAAAAAAAGATGATCCAAATTCACAGCTTATTGCTTCAACACACAGGAGAAGTCATTCACTATATGCTTTTTCTATCTACCCATTTCTACCCTAAAAATCTCCGAAAGGTTTAATTTGCTTTTAAAATGTAATAATTTCCCCCAAATGTTTGCTTCTTCTGACTGAGGGGTCGAGACCCGACTGGAGGTTGTTGAGGAGTTACCCGGCCTGTTCAGGTTGATGACATGAAGTAGATGTGTGGGCCAAGGAGTTCCTAGTGCCATTAGAAAACACCTCCCTTGTGTGGACCCAGCCTGGATGTTTTTATGACATCCTAGTGATAGCAAACCTTGTGCAATGTTGACATCCGACTAATACTATGAGGAGACAAAATAATGAAAATAGTTTTTCCAAAGATAACGAAATATATAACATCTGCATTTAACCACTGATTTGAGTGCATCCTTAGAAAATTGAATGTAATAAAAAGCCAGGACATTTTTAGAAATTGTTTGCTCTCTACTTTGTGTGAATTTTTATATAAGCACCATTTTATGAGTTATATAAAATGGTATAAAGAAAAAATGTAATAATTTATAGTATTTACATGCTACATTTTTCTATTATTATCCTTCCAGAATTGACCACTATTAGTACTTATAATGAGTATATTTTTAAGATTCAACTTGTCACTTTCTCCAAGTTTATTGTGTTTAGTCAGCAGAAATTACCATGTAGAAAATAGGACTAAAGTTTGTATAAACCCATGTCAGGTTTAGAAAGAATCCTATTGGAATTCAATTTTATTCTGGCTGGAAGTACTAAAGCTTTATTTTATAGTATTTGAAACACAAGGTGAGTGTTTGCTGTATAGTATACCCTCATCATTTGTAGGGCTGTCACTGAGTTTCTCAGCTACTTAACACAGATGTGCATTAAACAAAGTCTCACAAAATACCTTTGATAAGTTTTATTCTTCATATTTGGGTAAGAGTACAATTCCTAGACCACGTCTGTGAAGTCATGGTGGTATCACTGTGCTAGTAGGTTGGCTGGGAAAATATAAGAAAAATCAGGAGCAGCATGTTCTATTGCTTATTCTAGGACATACAGAGTCTCTTCAAGAAGTACTGTTCCAATTGTCTTCATAATTAAATGTAAGAGAAACCTAAATGTTTTCTATTCATCTATGAAATCATTCAAATGGCAAGCAAAACACATGTATAATCTATTTCTAAACACATGGGAAATGAAAGGATGAAAGTAACAATATATAAACATATGCTATCTTAATTCTAATGTCTATCTATAAAAACATGGTTGTAACAACTGCTATCTAAAAGTTTTATGAATTGCAGAAACCGGTGATCACTCCTATTTTCATTCCCATTTTTAAAAGTCGTTTTGCTTGGTCATCTAAAGGTGCTTTTCAGATTTCAAAAGATCAGATATTATTGTCCTCTTTGTGCCCCTAAGGAATTAATAACATACACATTCATTTTTTCTTCTTTCTAAATGTTCCAGTTAAAATTAAACAATGAAAAAATATAGGAAACATTATCTTGGACACCTTTTTGTTATAACAACAAAAAATGTGCAATATAAACAGAACTCGTTTTATTTGTTTGTTTGTTTTTAACAAGACGTAAAGAGCAATACAGATTACACAGCTGTCACCTCCTTAAGGAAGATGACATTCAGTTTGCAACAAATACCTGCTAGTGAAAACACATTACTAGCATTTCAAAAATTTACAAAAAATTGACAAAATATTCTCCTAAACAGCTATTTTTATATTTGTAAACAAAATATAAACAACTGGTTTATCCCATTTCCACTGCACGTCAGATAGGAGGCAAGGTGATAGAGATCATTTCTGATTTTAAAAGAATAATAAAAACTATACTCCACATACTACAATCCTGGGGAATATCTTTGGAGGAGGATGCTGGAGGGGATTAAACAGGCAAATGCATGACATCAGCTACTTTAACAGTCTTTTTTCATTTACTCATATTGCCTTGACACTTAATAATGACTTTTTTCTCTACAAGATAACAGTATCATTGCTGTACAATCCACAATTCTTTTATTTTCTTTTATTCCCCTAAAAATATGTGTGCTCCATTTCCTACCAGTTTTCATAAATGTAGTTGAAACTTCGACATACTAGGAGGGTGGTTTCTTTCAGTTTCTGAGGCCTTCTTCTATAACATCAGAGATATTAACAGTTTGGCCTACACATGCATGATGCCATAGATCGTTGGATGGTATGTGCACCTCCTATTTCAAAATTACAAACGGAAAGTAGGTCTGGACAAGGGCAAACTGCAATTCGACTTCTGCAGCCCTATCACCAGGTCAACTATGTTTATTCCTTCACTTTACTGATATAGTCAGTGAGTTTGCTGATGTTTTCTTCCTGCTGTTCCAGGGCATCCAGGACAATGCCCATTGGTGTCCTCTTCAAACCTATTACCTCCATTTTATTCTCCAGTTTGTTCTTGAGGTTTCGAAGTCTCAATGATGCATGGATAAACATCACTACGAAGAAGTGAAACATGGTTAGCACCAAAGCAACAGCTATCTTTCTCCACATCAACATTATACTCCCTCTCTTCACACTTTTAGTAAACTGCCTCAGGTATAGTCCAGTCTGATTCTCTAATTGGTTCAAATCCTCAAATGGATCCTTGGACTTTATATAAGTTGTATATAAGGCTCTTTGTCAAGTCATACATAGTTTCCTTTTTGTGTGAAAGCATGGTATTCAGCAGGCACGACCATAATCTGGCAACCACACTCTTTTATTGCCTCTTAGCTGCTACATAAAGGCCCTGACATTCAAAGCTAATCAACGTGATTCCAACCTACATAAAAATCAACCTTATGCAAAGTTTCTAGAAAGGAACTCATGTTCAATTCAGGGATTATCTGTACTTTGTTCTCTACAAAAAGCATGTGGTGAAGTCTACCTAGGAGGTGAAGTCCACCTAAGAGGAGGTTTTTCCAATGTGTTGGATATAGATTTATAGATAAAAACTAAAGTCTTTATAGATTTGATGTACCCTCGTGTTCTCCAAATTTGCTTCATCACTGAGAATTACTCAAGCTTGTTAAGTAACAGAATCCGTGGCCCCTCTCCTAGATCAGAACCTTAAAGGAATGAGCCTGGAAATCTGTATTTTAAACATGCACCCCAGGTGATCTATACCAGTGATTTTTAAACTTCTGTGTACATACAAATCACCTGGTGAGCCTGCTAAATAAATTCCCAGTATCCATCCCCCACACTCCCCAAATTCAGACTGAGGTAGGGCTCCGGAATGTAAAATTTTAATACTCACTCTGGATGATTCTGACACAGGTGATCTAGGACTCTCATTCTCAGAAACACTAATGCTCATTCTACCTGAGGTTCCCAATCTAGACTGGCCATTAGAAACATACGAGATTTCTAAAAATACACATTCTTTGGCCACTACTGAATTCTTTGACTCACAGAATCAAGATCTCCAAGAAATGTGGCTAAAAATTTTATATCTTTAAAAAGCATCCTGGATGATTCTCACAAGTATCAATGTTTGGGAATCAATGATCTTGTCTAGTTTCCTTATTTTATAGATGAGTGAACTACAGCCCATTCAGGATACCCGATCCAAATCACATGGCTGGTTTCTAGCTAGTCTAAGAATAAAAATCAAGACCCGTGACTCTCTACCTATGACACATTTCATCATACTGGCCTGTCTCAGGCTCTGATGTGGAAAGGTACTAACTAAAGTTAACGAGATATGTGTCTTAGCAGAATCACTGAAATACTAAGCCTTTAGCACGTAAGGAAAACTTGAAGACTATTTTAAAACGTATGAATTTGCTGATTCAAATATTTTGCAGTGTGGGATTCATCAACAAATATTCTGGGTTTAATCTAACACAACCCCAAACAAGTAATTGATTTTATTTAATGGAATAATGAACAAGTGAACTGCTATTAAAAGTTAAAGGGATGTTCCTGTCACTTAATACACTAGAATTTTAATCAGATTTCTGATGAGACTGAAATTTTATCTTTTCTCTATTTCCGGCTTCATGTGTTTGGGATCTCAGTAAACAATGCATGTAAAACTTAGAAAATATCTAGTTCTCTTTGCCAGAATCTGAGGACTTGATACCTATATTCTGGGTCAATTATTTGTATAGGTTTATAAAACTTTTGACATGAATAATAATCTTCTCAGTAAGCAGAGAGTAAGTAGTTTACATCCAAATGAAATACATTCATCCCTGTGTCAGGACTGTATGAATGGCACTTAAAGATTGAGAGCAGACTCTACTATCAGACAAATCTGGAATCCAATGCAGGCTATGCCAGTTTCTTGCTGCGTAACTTGGGATTTCTGGGTTTTTTTTGTTTATTTTTGTGTCCCCAGAAGAGCGTGCCCAGTACATACTTGTGGAATGAATGGACTACTTATCAGAACTTGACCTGCTATTTCAGAAAATTCTGATAATTTTGCAGACATGCCAATACACATAAGAAACAAGTAATGCAATTCATTTCCACATTTTTTTAGATGTAAGAAAAGTCAACTCAGATTTACTTACACAACAAAGGAAAAGTGATGCCAAACACAAAGACCATGACCCCTCCAAACATGGATATGAGGAAGTAGCTAGCCAACATGACCACCATGACAAAGGCTGTGGGGTATTGCTTCTTCATGCGGCGAAGTATGTCTTTATTGTGGGCTGCCCACACAAACCCCGTGAACACGAGCACCACCACAATTCCTCCGAGGATCATGTTGAAGGGGCTCAGGAACCTGGAATATGGGGAACAAAAAGGGGGGGGCTAGGTTAATAGTAGTAGTAGCAGGAAGAGGAAGATGAGAAAGGGGAGGAGGAGCAAAAACAAGTAGTGAGTACTTACTAAGCATGTTATCTAAATTGCCTCATTTAATCTTCAGAACCTGCTGAGGCAGATACTACTCATTCATTTCTCCAAAGAAGAAATTTAAGAGAACAGTTGAGAAAATCATAGAGCTAAGATTCACACCTAGATAATTTGACTCTCACAAAACTCATCAGACCATCTTATTGGAGGCCCACAATTTTCAAAGACTTCTGAAATTTAAGAGACCCCCTCATTTGGAGGGGCTGTGTTTAGCTTTCATTCATCCTGAGTTTTAGTACACATTAGATTGTATTTACTGAGCTCTAAGAGGTTATTTAAACCCTCACAGAAACTGCCATGATAGATGAATGTAGAGTAGAGGTCACACAATGGCCTCTTTGGGGGTAGATCCAGTCTATAGTCAAATTTGTGTTTGAACTGTACAGTGTTTCAAAAAACTTTTACTTGAATCCCAATGTGTTAAAAAAAAAAAAAATCCATAAAACTTGAGATTTCTTCCTTCTCCTGAAAACAAGAAAATCTAACACTAGGCCCACTTTCCCATGTGTCAACAACTTGCTGGAGCACCTTCTCATTCAGATAGAACAAATCTTCTCCATTTAGCCCCAGTCCCCACTGCTATCTACTGCATCTCTGACACATTGGCCCCAATGAGCTGCCATTAATCATTGTTTTTCTAATAGCTGGCCTGCTTCTCTGTCTTATGTAACTGGCCCAGCCATAAAGGTATTTGAGTTTATGGCTCCTGGCATACAGAGTCCATTATAATTCTTTAAAAAGGCCCAGAGTAACATTAGGAGATAGGTTATCAAACAAGGTTTCCAAGCACAAAGCTTCCAGATTCACTGGTACCTGAGCCAAAGGTTACACTACTGTTGATAATGGGGAAATACATTATAAAGAGGAAATTTAGACCAAGTATTTCAAAAGCAAGAATGACTGGGCATTGCAGCTCTCACCTCCACCCCAAACCACTGTGTATACAAAACCTTTAATGAGACATCTGTGGTGAGCAAGCACAACAAATTACTAATTCTTCACCCTCACAAGAGGCTAACGAGCATTTTACTTGGGAAAGACAAAAACAGTCAGTGTGTTTTCATCATCTCTGAATATAAACATGACTGATTTAGAAATGAAGGACAGAGAAAGAAAGGATAATGGAAGGCGATACCAAGAGCTTACTGTCTCTGAAATAGAGCAGATGAAAGATTCATACTCATGTTTTGATTCATATATAGAATAACTAAGATTTTAAAAAATCTCTTGAAATATTAGCTGATTCTGCCTCCTGAAACATGAAAGTTATTTTTAAGTAGTTTCAAATAGGAGTGAAACTATTTTATCATAATGGGTGAAATCAGGGGTATAATCAATGTCAAATTGCTTTGAAAAAGGTAAAAATTTCTATTTAAATGCATGGAATTAAATAGTGGTAAGGGTAGCAATACATAATTTAAAATTAAACCCTATAATAATAAAATGCTTATTTCATTCAAAACTCTTGCAAATACTTATTCCCTTCAAGGCAATAAATCCCCTCCTCAGAATAGAGTCTAAGGAAATAAATAAAAATGCAAAGATTGAATTGCAACGGTATTCACATGAGTGGAATTTATGGTTAAAAACTTTTAGAAATAACCTATGTGGCCATGACTTTTTGAAAGCTGAAGTATACTTAATAATATGGGAAGACATTAATAATATATTGAGTGGGTAAAAGCAATTATAATATATTCTCTCCATTAGGTAGATTTATTGTATATGTTATACAGCTCAGAAGTAGAAAATTTTACAATTAGCATATAATTTTGTATTCGGAAATAAAATGAACATATAAAAAAAGAAAATGTAAAAGCAAATGCTCCCCAGCCCCAGGCCCCAGGATCGGCACAGGCCGACTACAACAGTCCATCTTTACTTCCATCACCTCTCCAATAGTGCAGTTACATCAGTGCAATTTCAATTCAAATACCACAGCGAAGTTGTCCTATTCTCACTCAAACCTTGGTTCCCTGCCCATTCTCCAGATCTTCTGCAGCCAAAGTGCACCGCCGCGCCCCGCCCTCCCGCTCTGCTTGCTCCCCCAAGCTTTCCCAACATCCAGCACATGCTCTCTTCTGTCTGTCCCCCTTCTCTCCAGTTCTTTGTTATCTGGGTCTAGTTAGTTTCTCTGTTCTTTTTTCTTTACTTGTCTTTTTAAAATTTTATATGGGTTATAGCCTGTCTCCTGATTTAACTCCAGAATTGGTCTGAGAAAGACAAAAATTTTCTAATAGACCCAGGAAAGGGAAAAATTAGACAGAACAAAAACAAAATCCTCTTTGGCAAGTGGTGGGGAGACTAGGTGGAGAGACCCAGAAATTCTCACAGATTAATACATCCCATTCCCAGCACTAAAAAGAATCTCAGGAAAATAACACCAAAGATTACAATAGTTAGACTGGGTAGTACTATCACGAGTAGTTTATCCTCATTTGCTTACTTATATTTTCATATTTTTTCAAAAGAAATGTATTACTTAGATATTTAAAAATTGATATTTAAAAATGAGCAAATGAAAGTGGGAAAAGGAACCTGAAAGAAACAAAACCTTTTACCTCGACGTTGACCCATCCCAGAATTTCTGAGCTATAAAGAAAAGCAAAGACCAACATTAACTCAAAGAACTAGAGTGGAGGGTTCAAGTTTAAGGAAAATCCTTTACATAAAATATAAATGAGATGGTTGGTTAGCAGCAAAGTGTCGAAGTCTTCTACTAAGTTGTTTCCAGAATACCTATTAAAATAATTCATGAAGCGAGCATGTAATAAAATGCATGCTAAGCTTTTTTATTTTCCTCCGGACAAGTAAAGTAGACATCTGGGTTGAATGTCTAAATAAAGACAAGGACAGATATTTCAATAACTATATATGGTGCCAGGTGGGTACTAGACTAATCAGGGGATCACTTTGTAAATTATGTAAATATCTAACCATTATGCTGTACGCCTGAAACTAATATAAAATACTATTGAATGTCAACTGTAATTGATAGAAAGAAAAAAATAAAGACAGACAGACAGCCAAGGACAAAGAACAATGAAAAATCCAGGCCTAACTCAAGCAATTCCAGATTTGCTTTTCACCTGTTCCTGTTGCTCATGCTCAAAGGAAAAGAAAAGAGCAGAGTCCTATAGAACTGGTTTCAGTTTACAACACACCCAGCCACAATCTATAATTAGAAAGTAACTAAGTTTCTAAACTGGAAAAAATGAACCAAGTTACTCAGAGTAGAAATGATTTTCTTTCTTATTCTGCTTACCAGCAATTCAATTCTAAGAAATGGTAAAATGCATACCACTTAAATGCCCTGGCACCTGCCTGCGCTGGAGCAAATAAAACAAACACACCAGAGAGAGGGAGAGGGAGAGCAGCAGAG